ACTTTAAGACAGTGTTGTCAAACCTTGGCCACTTTAAGATGAGTGAACTTCAACTCACAGAATCCCCCAGCCAGCATGGCTGGCTGGAGAATTCTGGGAGTTGAAGTCCACTCATCTTAAAGTGGCCAAGCTTGGACAACACTGCTTTAAGAGCTACATGAATCTCTGGAGAATTTCATTCCAGAGGGTAGGCCCTGCAACAGAGAAGGCACACAACCTGGTTCTTGGCAGATGGCACTGTTTAATCAAAGGGAACTGGAGTGTGCCAACTCTGCCAGCTTTTGCCAGATGGGCAAAAACCATGGGAGATATGTGGTCCCTTAGATAACCTGGCCTGATGTCATGTAGAGCTTTACAGGTGGTAAGCAGCACCTTGAATTGCACCTGGAAGCACCCCAGTACAGCGCACAAAGCAGTGATATCACATGGGCATAATGATGGGTATGCCCATCACTGCTACTGCATTTTGGATCAGTTGAAGTGTTCAGGTAGTCTTCAAGGGCAGTAAAGTGACTAGCGCATGAGTGATTGTCTGAAGGGCCTCTTGATTCAGGAAGGGTCACAAGTGGCGCTCAAGCTGTGCAAAGGTCTTCTTGGCCACAGCTGCCACCTCTTCTCTGAGCAGGAGAAGTGAGTCCAAAACAATTTACAGGTTGTGCACTAATCTTGAATAGGGCAACCCCATCCAAGACTAGATGGGGAACCCCCAGATCTGGGGTGGCCCTAATATCCACAGCTACTCAGTCTTAGCAGGATTAAGCTGGAGCTGGTTTCTCTCTATCTAGCCTCCAGGTGCTGGGACAAGACCTTAACAGCATCACCTGGCTAGCTGGGGGCCAAGGTATATAAATGGGTATCATCAGCATATTGATGACACTGAACCCTGAATTGGCAGATGACTTCATTCAATGCTTATATGTATTTCTTGGCCACCATACTAGTTCTGGATTAACTCACACTGAAGAGATGGAGACTGAACTCTCTGTTTTTCCCACCTACCCCAGGATCAGAAGGACAGGGTAGCACTTCAAACTGAGGGCTAACAGCAAGCCAGATTACAGAAAAATTGGCAGAGAAAGAGAGAGAAACCCTAAAATGTTTTTGAAAACTTGTATTATGGAAGCATTTGTTTCATCCTTTTCCTATCCTGCCTTCTTTGAATTCAGATATAAGTGTATCCTTCTTCTTACGCCATGGGGCAAACTAATTGAAAGGAATACAAAGAGACATTACTAGGTTGGACCCTTTTCTTTCTTTTCTTTTTTTAAAGAAGACAGGGACCTTAATGTCAACAAAACATTTCAAGTCAATTACTTCCTTTGGGGCAGGAGGACATCTTGGAAGAAAATAAATTCTAGACAGACCATTAACACAAATGGGGTTTCTTTCAAACATGCTTTAAAATAAGCCTCTTCTTAATCTAACTGGTGCATACCTAAACTTAATCTGGAGTGTGCCAACATGAACATGGATTGTTTTTTTCCATCTTGGTATTTAAAAGTTTATGATCTTATTGTTCTCCTCCTGCCCTCAGACCCACTTTTGCAGCTTGATAAATCACATCACCTAAAATAGCATGGAACACTCAAAACAATTCCATATGAAATGAGTATGTTTGGTTTCATACTTGAACCAAAACTCATGAAATGTGAAATGAAATGTGGTACACTTCAAGAGTTTTGGTTCAAGTATGAAACCAAGCACATTCATTTCATTTCAATGTGTACCAGACACATTGTTCTGAGTCAGAACCTCTTGAAATTAAAGTTTGAACCGTTCTGCACATCCCTACTTTATACAACCGCAACTTTAATCCAGAACCTCGCAGAACTCTGCCACTTTAGACTCACTTAACGTTTTAACCTTGGGACGGAAGATAGGCAACCAAGTCATCCCACAGCAGCAACTAACGCTACATAGTAAACAAGACTGGGAAAACACACCGAAGATGGCTTCTGGAATTCTTTCCAGTTCCTCTACCAGCAATGGCCACAGGAGGTGTCTCTATTTTCCTCTGTATAATGAAGTAACATGCTGCATGTCTATATACTGTACGTGGGTTTCTGTGTCTGAATGCAGATGCAGAAGTTCTGGGTCACATAACTTGGAGGTGGGGGAGGACTTAGAAAGGAGGAGCCATCAAATTCCTAGCAGCTCCCCAAATGCTTGTGCCATGGGATGTGCTGGGGGATTGGATCAGGCCATTTTCAAACTCAGTCTTACTTTTGTCAGCTTCTCCCATCATATCAAATTTGGTCGCATTCAGTTCAGTTGTCAGAGAGCTATCCTGCGGACAGGCAGCCAAACAGACAAGAGCCCTAAGCCCCTTTACCTAATTTCTTTCCAGCCATCTGTTGAGTTGGAAAGAATAAAAAGGTGCACTGGCCCACTTGCCCCCATCAACTTGCTGTGCTGAAGAAAATGAATATATTTTTAGATGGTGTCCTTACTTTTGTAAACAATTCTGTGGCACTGCAGGTAGAAGTCATCAACTCTGAAAGACCTCCACCACAACAATTTAGCTAGAGAGAGAGAGAGAGAGAGAGAGAGAGAGAGAGAGAGAGAGAGAGAGAGAGAAAATTAATTACAGATTTTTGTACCAGTTTTAAATTACATTTTTTTCAAAGATCCCAGTTTGTATCTTGCGGTGCACAATGTCTGATGCCTGAACTTTCTTCCTGTTACTCACCATCTATAGTGAATATATTCAACTACAGGCAGGGATAAAAGGGAGATAGAGTATCAGAACCATTATAAAAGAGAGTTTTCAACCAGGAAGGAAACCGAATCACTGGACTGAAAGTCTCAAAAGGTTCAAAAGCAGGCAATCCTTTTCTGGAAAATTATTTTTCAGTGAAGTTCTGTAGAAGCTAAGATCTCAGTGAAGAGTTATACTCCATAAAGAAAGAATAGCAGAATTATTTCCATCTTCCTTTTTTATAAACAGATCACTGTTCCATTAGAGGCAGTCTAGTAAAAAAGCATGATTTGTGATTAGCCCGGTTCTGGATGGGCACATGTAAAATAACACATGCCCTAAATAAAAGGAACTGAGCCTGCTTGAACACGCTGTGCTAGATGTGGTTTATTCCTTACACTGTCAGGACTGGCTGACTTTTTATTAGTCCAGACCACTCATATTTTAAATGAACTTTTTTCCTTTTAGTCAAAATCTATGTTTTATATATATCCCGTCATTTATTTTAACCTTTTTAGTTTTATTCTTAGGTCTACTGTCATGTGAAGGTTTTTAATATTTACATTCTGTTTAGTTGAAATTACTGTTTTACTCCCTGTCATTTTTAAAACATTTTTTTTGTCTCATTTTTAGGCCTACTGTTATCACTGCTTTGGGCTGATTAATGATTGCAATAAAGATTTGGAATTCATGATACAGATTTCATTTCAATCACTCTTGTTGCATATGATCCATTTCTTTTTTGCAGAACTCTTCTGAAGGGAAGAAAAACAGCTAGGGTCAAGTATGTCAAAGAAATCTGTCACTAGTTTCTTTTACGTCAAAATCCTGTGCTCCATGGAAGCCTACCAGCCCAAGGAAGCAATGACCAAAGTCTGCTGCCATCCATTTTTCTCATCTGGAAAGGTTAATAACATGAGAATACATATGGAAGTTTTGTGTACACTTCATTGCAGCTAAAAATGTAATATAGTTTGAAAATGCAGCTTGTTCTTATATGAAACATGTATTAGAGAAATATGCATAAATATAGGGGTTAGCAATGCTGAGTTGATCATGCAAATTGTATAGAATAATTTATAAATTACTGAAAAGTGTACAAAACCCAGTAGTAACTACACATATTCAGTTGTTTTAAAAATGAACTTTCCACGGCAATGACCTAGAAAAGATTGCCCCAGAACCACACATCCCTACTGAGAATTGTTTTGATATTCTCCTTTGGATTCATTGTACCATTTATAAATTACACTGTCCTTCTTGCATTTTGGGTTCCTTGTGGACATGTGACTCCAAGTAAACATTCACTGTAAATTATGGTAGCTGTAATTTAGCTTGCACTTTAGTTTGTAGCTGAATGTCATTTTGTGAATCTATTGCTTTTAAATAGAGATTTTAATAAGTGCTAAAGTATTTTTCTATTTCTTAAAGACAGGAAGGTATATTATATCACAGATGTGTGTCACTTGAGGTTCTGTAATAAATGTGAGATATAAATTAGTCAAATAAATGCTACTTTTAAATACTATTGTCTTACGAAATCTTATAGTCCTATAAAATATACTGAATGGGCTTTGCAAATGGTAATAGCTGTAAGAATCCTTTATGCTTCTCATGGAAATTATAAACAACTCTTTCTGTAGAAGAATGGCAAATTAAGTTACAGAAGCATGCTTCAAAGTCGAAATTAACTTCATAACTGAAAAACAAATCTGAAATGGAATTTAACACAATGTGAAAAGCATTTTTGGCTTATAATCTTACAAACAGGTTTGTACCACATACAAAGTTTAGGTTTTCTTTAAAATTATGATTTGATAAAATGATTAAACTTCATAAATTAAACAATAATTATTCCAATTTCTTTATCTTCGTTTATAATTTTAGTTATACTGGTTGTAGTTGTTAATTATTGCATAATAGCCCAATTTAAATATTGGCTTTTTAGTACTGATATACAATTTCAAATTGATAGAAGGTATTTCAACATGCAGATTTACCTTAATGTCTTTTTGAACTTTTTAAAGCTCATTTTATAATCTTTGTAAATCTTTTTAAATTTTTTAAAAATTCTTTTCCAGTTTTTTCTTTGATTGCACTTGCAAAATTAATGAATAAATTTGAAAAGAATGAAAGAATGAATACCAGAGGGGTTTATTTTGCCTGCCATAGCTCTTCTCACACTTTATGTTTAGACTGTTATCAAGCTACACAAGTCTTGTGATACAGTAGTCTTAAAATAATTTCTTTCATTGTGCATCAGTAATAATTGCATGTTGGTTGAGAATAAAATAATGATTTGGTTGAATAAAAAAGAATGCTATGTGTTACAACCCTAATTTCCTACAATACTAACATATACTTCTCTGATCATCGCCGTTAATAGGAACTGTAGAGGGAGTTCTTTTTTTTTTTAAGAAAATGGAAAGACTGACCCATCAACTTTGGTAAGTTACAATGAACTCATGTTCAGCTGTGAGAAATTCATTCTCTGAGACACTAATGTCACTTTATAACATTTTTTTTAAATAGTAGCAATAAAAGCATATATTTCTGAAGGCTGTGCTATCATTTCATTCTTTTGAAAAAAATTGGATATTCTGCTTTTTTAAAAATGGAAAGACTCACAAATACAGAACAATAATGCTTAGATAAGGCAATCATGTGGGTGCCCCTTAAACTGAGTAAATGATCAATAACAATTCCATGTTAAATACAGTATGTCCTGTAGAAACTCTACCCATTGGTCTCAACTTGACTATAATACTTAGAGATGTCTCCCGGGAAAACTACAAATGCTGTAGCTATAAAGAATGGTGGAAATACCCTTTGTACTGGAAAAAAATAAGACCTTTTTTTTTTTTTTTACAGAATATACAGCTGGGCTTCAACAGACATACAGATAGTCCTTGTTTAGCAACTGCCTCGTTTAGGAATTGTTGGCAGTTATGACAGTGATGAAAAAATAACTTTGTAACCAATCCTTGCATTTATAACCTTCGCAGGTCTATAAAGCAAAGGAAAGCTGGAGTAAGCTCATAAGCACAGTCACAGTTTCACTTAACGACCACTTCACTTAATGACCAAGTTGCTAGTCCCAATTGTGGTCGCTAAACAAGGATTACCTGTAATCTATAGTTATTTCAAGCAGATATTTAACTAACTAACCGAGGAAGCAAAAAACTGTGAAGATTAAATTTGATTCCCAACGAAGTATGCTGTACAACTTACTGTTTCCTGGAAGGTTTTCACAACAGCTTGTGCCTTTTTTGCTTTGTTCTCATCCTTGTCTTTCGATTGAAGCAATGCCTGATCATAAAATTGTTTGACATCTTTGGCAATCTGCAAAAGACCAGGGAACAGTATACCCTCAATGCAATAGACACTGGCTTTTACAGGCACTCTTCCCCCCACTAGTCTGTTAAGTGACAATCTTTTTTTTTTTCATAATAAGATTTGATCTTATTAATTCCAATAATCTTAACAATTGGATAACCAGACAACAAAGCTCAGGCACCTGAATTGAATTTGCAGATCTATAATCACCACTCAGCTGAGGGCCAGTTTAGAACATGGAACCGTGTATCCAGGAAATAGTACACTGGATTTACTGTAAAGGTCCACTTTCTATTCTGCCTTGTTATTCTAAAATGGGGGGTGGGGGGGATG